GGCGGCTTTGAGTCACGTGTTCTATGGATTTGCTTTGTTATATTGGCCAACAGGGCAAATCAACCAATACTGGCGTAGGGGCAATCAAATCAGTCAAATCTTGGCGTTATTTAATTTATTGGCTTTAACGGCAGCGCTGCGTATGAACAGCCAGTATGGGCCTCTGCATGCTGGGAGTGCGTCTCCCCTACGTCTTCGTGGAGAGATGTCAATGCCAGGGTCAAGAATCGTCCAGCTGGGTTCGAACTTGTGGACCAGCCTCAGTTCGCGACGGACCCCTGCCCACCCCATAAGTATCCCAGATCGAGCGAGTTAGCCCTGAGTTGTACATGAGGCTCAGTCAACAGCACCTTGTTCTGACTCCCTTTTAGGGTCTCATTCGACCCGGAGATCTCCAGCCATGCAATGGGGGTAGAATGGAGAGAGTCCGGTGGGTCAGTGGAACTTCACGACTAGGAGTCGAATTATTCATGGTTCAGAAAGAGAAAGAGCTGTGCGTCGGAGACTGAAGCAATTTCTTCAGATGTTCGCGAGTCAATAGAACAATGATTTTACATAGCCCGCAAAAAGACACCAGGAGGGCTTGTATAAATAGAGAGGCTTGCCGCCAACTGAATGGCATCTTCTTCACCTCACTCACTCACCCACATTCATTCATCAATCAATAGTCCCAACTCTTTTATTCACCCCAAGTCTTCACTCTCTTTCAGATCTCTATTCCTTAATTAACACCTTCAACACCACAAAAATGCAGTTCTCTACTATCTTCCTTGCTGCTGTCGCCTGTGCCACTGGGTGAGTCACCACACTGAACTGGGAGCCACAAGCCACGAAGTTACCTAGTACAGATAGCGACTAACTTCAATATGAAGCGCCGTTGCAAACCTTCACACTCAAGCTTGGTGCGTCACCAACGGTCTCCAGGACAACGACCCCAAGGTATGGACGCACCCTCTGAGTGAGATTGTGTTGAAACTAACAATCACAGAACTCCGACGCCACGCAGGCTGCCTGCGCCCAGTACAAGCAACGGCACACCGGAAATGAGCAATGGGACATTTGCCCCGACTGCGAGATCGTGAGCACTGTCATCCAGACACGTTGAATATCACTCCAGCTAACGTGAACCAATAGGGTGTCAAGGACAAGGACGTCCAGGTCTGCAACTCAGCTGCCAAGCACATTGGCGGTGACGAGTGGGAGGAGTACTGCATCCAATTCGGGGCTGAGAAGGGCAAGGCCAACTAAGTCTCTCACTCAGATGAACAAATCATGGAGGCAGGAGCATTTGCTGGAAGAGGGCTTTCGGTAGAGACTGCAACCCACCTTACCTTAAGACTAGATGAATGATAATGGGTTGCAAAATGATGTGAACGTTGGTGATGAAACGATGACAGAAATGGCCATCCAGTTATCGAATGCCTTGGATCTGCTCGCTTTGACCGGCCAAGACAACACAGAGTACCAAGGCCGATCGGGAACCCCAAGAAGAGTCAACGATCCATGTGAAAACTTGGCACTGCAGGGATCGGATGATTAACTGATGCATACCGAGTGGTATGTAGCTGAGCCCTTGAGATATGTAATCTTGGCTATCAGAGTACGAACAATAGCCAAACAAGGGCGAGAAGCGACATTTCATTTCCTGTGGGGAGCGCGGCCCCAATCTCAGGCTTCTCATGGCTGAGATAAGACTGATGAGGGACTAAATGAGACACAAACCAGCCCGCAGGCAACGAAGCGGGGCTCTGCGACATGTCTGTGCTGGGCACTATTGCTTTTGACCACAGAAAAGAGTGCGGAGCTGAAAATACGGGCAAGCCTCTTATTAAAGGGGCTTTTTGCTTAAAGGGTCTATGATAGAGCCAGGGTCAAAATTATCTAGGAAGCGCCGCTATAGCCGTGCAGACTTCCTCTTTTCTCTTTTCTCTCTTTGTATTGTCTTTTTGCGGCTGTTTGAGATTCGATTCTGTATTGTTTGCACCTGTTGATCCCTTCGAGCGATGATCATTCAAGCCCGCAAAACTATCCACAAATGTGCTCTTACAAATATTTCGTTCAGAATGGAGATTATTACATAGGAGGCATTGGTTATGTCAAACAGTCGCATTTGAAGCAACAACATCGCAAATTTCCATTCGGATGGGTAGAATCTGTGGTGCCCTGCCAAGAAATGATTGGTTCAGCTTGAGGACACGAATGTTAAGTAGACGCAGTGCACTGAGTATACCCCCCTTAACTGAAATCAAAGACCCAAAACATCGGACTAAAGTAATCGCCTTTTGACTGATCCTTAGCAAGTATTGCCCCATGACGCTGCTGCGTCTTGTCCCCTCAAATCTCGTCCTTCTTCTCAGCTGCTAGAATATGAGCGATACTCGAGTTGATTAGCGAAAGGGTAATGAAAGCATCATAGAGAGTGGCAGGAAGAAGCTCAGGGGAGATTGTTTGTTTGTTTGTTTGTTGTTTGTTTAATATTTAACGCCATGGCGGCAAGGGCGCGGCCGCCCTTGCGGCAGACCTCCCGAAGGGTATGTGGCGTGGAGGGCCGCAGGCTCTAGCTATATACTCTGTAGTACACGCCTC